AGCAGACAGACAAAAAGTAAACTGAAGTCTATTGTTACAGGACAAGAGGCTGCCGACAGGAACGACCGCTCTGTTGAAATTAGAAGGTAAGTTGGACCGTGATTGATACAATATCAGTAGATCTTTGTAGTAATCCAACCCCAAACACACTAAGGTTATGGTTTTTTCTTTCTTTCTTTTGTGTGCGCGCAGAGTTTGTGGCCAAGTTTCTGGGGATATATAGGAAGAGTTGCAATAATCGTCAGTGTGCGTAAAGTTTTTTGATGAACAATGCTTTTGTTTAAATCATTTTGCATTTTTGCTGAAGCAGATACTGCGACCTGTCATTATTTATTGTCATTTCTCTTAAAAAGGCTTATAAATTTTTATTTTCAGATTGCTTGAACTACATTCTTTTAAAGATCATAATGGCTTATTCATGATAAGCATAGCTCCTCTAAATGGTTTCACTTCGTTCCAATTTCTAACAAATCAATCAGCAGCGGTCACCCATTCTAGATTCAGTGACGGTAATAGTTCTATTGCTTGTCGAACCAAAAAAGTATGGTCTATTGTTAAACCCTAAAGTTAATTATCAAAGCGTTAAATGTGAATTTGACTTAAGCATCATATCATTGAGTTTTTGTTCATCTCTTAGGCGACAAAGTATTTAATTTTTAATTTTAATATTTAATAATATTAACAAACGTCGTCTTGGTTTTTTATTATTGTTAAATTGAAAAATGCTTTTAAAAACATTTTTTTAGAAAAATGATATGAAAAAAATATAATTTGTTAATTTAAGCATAACATCATCAAAAAGTATTATGAGAAGTTAAAATAGTTTTTATATATTGAAAGTGAAATTTAAAATTATAATAAAAACATTTGGTAAATTATTTGTGAGTTGTTTATATATAAATGTTTATTAAATTAAATAAAAAAATATAAACATAAAATTATTTTTTATTAAATAATTGTGTAATTGATTATGATGAGAAATATAACATCTTAGTGCAAAGAATGATGATTTATTTTTATCCTTTTTTTTTCGTTTGAGATTTGAATAGGTGTGGGTAAATGATTACGTGCGACAGATTTAATATACGATTAAAAAAGAAGTTATCGGTTTTATTATTATTTAAATAATAAAACTAGTAAAAGATTACAATAAACATTATTATTTCTATCGGTTTTATTATTATTGGACGTTTTAATTATTTTTTCTACCGATTTTGTTATTATTGGACATTTTACCAGAAATATTAAAAAATATTGATGTTTTAAATATAAATAATAATGTTTTAGATAATTTTTTACTAATTTTATTATTTAAATAATAATAAAACCGATAGTTTTTTTTACTGTATATTAAGTATGTTCCACTTAAGATGACTATCCAGCTTAGTTGGTAGAGCACAAGGTTTTTGATCTTGAGGTCGTGGGATCGAGTTTCACAGAGAGCATTTCATAATTCAGAGATCTTCTACGAAAACTGCTCTCAACTTAATGTTGAGACAACCTACTATATTACTTCTACTTACGTCACGAGAACAAGGACAGCCATTTCACTTAAAACTTCCCATGTGTGGGTGACAGAAGAAAAGTGGGAAACATGAGGGTCCAAATGTAGCCATCTTTTTTCCAACGGTATTGGTAATTGTGTGTGAACAGATAAAACGGGGCAACTTAGAATTTCAATAATTCTAAATTCACACCATCAGAATAAGGCTATTCTTCCCTGCCTGCTTCGTCTTCCATAATAATTACTGCTTTTGGCCTGAGATTCTTAATGGATTGCAAACATTTTGAATCTTAGCTTTTTTTAAAAAGTAAAATTAAACCCAGTTTTCCTTTGGATATAAGAACGGTAAATTAGAGTTTAATTTAATTAAGTTTTCCTTTTAAATAACTGATATATATATTTTAAAAAATGGTGTTTAATAAAATTTAAAATAAAGTTGTCTATTTGTAAGAGAAAATACTGCTACTTTACAAATTTGGGCTAGTGGTGGGCTATACCGGGGACAAAAGCCGAAGCAGATAAATGAAAAAAAGATACTGTCTTTATTTAAACTGATTTGTGTTTGGATGCTCAGAAAACCAGATTCTACATTAACCCTATTAATTTCAAATGAAAACAAAAACTAAAGAAAAAACAACTGGCTGTGGAATGTGGATGAGCGGATGATAACTAAAAAAGCTGGAAAATGGTGGTCCAAGGCGAGGTCAAAATCAAGTCAGCCGACTTTAAAGTATAAGTGGACCGCTTGAAACCATGGTCCACGGTTGCAGCCAAAGCCGAAAACCCTGTTCGCATTTGCAAGTTGCCTCTCTTCTTTATAGAGAAAATAACTTCAGTGACCAAAAATCATATACGATTTTGACCAACTTTTTTTGGATTTGCGAAAATGACCAACAAAATCGCAATGCGATCTCTAATTCGCATTGCGATCTCCACTCTCGTAAATTCGCGTTGCATTTCGCGTTGCGATAGTTGAAAATCGCGTTGCGATTTTCCATCTCGCGTTGCGATAGTTGAAAATCGCGTTGCGATTTTCCATTTCGCGTTGCGATAGTTGAAATTCGCGTTGCGATAGTTGAAATTCGCGTTGCGATTTTCCATTTCGCGTTGCGATAGTCTACAGTTGTCGTTGCGATAGTCTACAGTTGTCGTTGCGATTTTCCAAATTCGTTGTGATAGTTAAAAAAAAGATTTTGTTTCTTAAGAATTTTCTCTAAAAAGATAGTATCCGCGCGGACGTGTCGAAGACACGTATTACCATTACCATTACCACGACCACGACCACGACCACGAGACGGGACGGCGGCGGCGGCGCGCGAGAGTCCCCCTTGTTCTCTATCACTCAACAAGGAAGTGATAAAGCCAAGCCTTAAATACCATTCCCAATAGTGTTTCCAATACTATGTGGGATTTGAGCATTACCAACACTTGTTCCCAATACTATGTGGGATTGAGCCTTAAATAGTGATATTATTTTTGAATGTTTTGCTTAAAATTACAATAATCGCGATTGATTGTAGATTGACTTTTAATTATGACATATTTAATCGTATAATACTAATGTAATTGGTTGTTGATTTAGTTGTTTTAAGGTGCATGATTGTTAATTGTTTCATGAATAATCACATTGTATTGGAAACAAGTGTTGGTAATGCTCAATCCCACATTGTATTGGAAACACTATTGGGAATGGTATTTAAGGCTTGGCTTTTCCACTTCATTGTTGAGTGATAGAGAACAAGGGGGACTCTCGCGCACCGCCGCCGCCGTCCGTCTCGGGCCGTGGCCGTGGACGTGGTCGTGGTAATACGTGTCTTCGACACATCCGCGCGTATACTATCTTTTTAGAGAAAATTCTTAAGAAACAAAATCTTTTTTTCAACGAATTTAGAAAATCGCAACGACAACTGTAGACTATCGCAACACGATTTAATCTCAACTATAATAATTATGAGATCCCTTGATTAGTTGATTATAATAATTTTGTTGAGATATTTTTCAATTTTAAAAAATGAAATAAAAAATTGAATCGAATTATTATTAGTCACTGTGAACTTAATTATTATTTAATTCGAATTAATTTAAGTTATTTGTTTTGAATATTTTAAAAATGAAATAAAAAATTGAATCGAAACAAATTTTATTTACTCTTATTTACGTAAGCATTAGAGCATGTGACTAAACCCTGTAACGCTATATAACTAAGTAGTTTCCAGATGAACAAGGACCACGACAGTAACAAAGAGGGCAAATAATCAAATGTGTCGAACTGAAAACCAAATGCAGCTAATTGAAGAGGACGTGGGGAAGCAGGATGAGATTTAATGACCAGGGCTTAGCTTAAGACGCCTGCAAGTTACGACTCGAAGGAAACACTAACACAATAACATTTTAATAAATTTATAAATATAATATAATAACAGATAACACAGTGAATTTAAGGACCATTAATATAATAAATAAATTCGAAAATTATAATATTTGTATCTGAAAATTTACCATATTTAATAAATTATATTTTATTTATAGTTATTTACACCCTTAACATGAAAAGTAAAATATATATTCACAAATAACTGATTGTAGTGACTTCAATTCTAATTCTATATTTTACAATCAGCCTTGAACTTCTCCTCACCACCTAATCTAAACCTTTGCTTACCTACCTCTCGACCATTTCTTTCATTCTACATAAAGTAAATTAATTACCAAAATTTATATTGTGTGAATAACTTCTCAAAAAATAAGAAATGGATGTAAAAAAATTAAATTTTCAACACACCAACCAATACTCTTTTATTTGAAATTATTATTTTTAAAACGGAAGAAAATTAAATATAGATGCAACTAACGAACTAGATTGGGTTAACAAAATTAGAACTTACATTGAAAATAAATAAATTTTAGATTAATTAAATTATTTTATACGATTTTTATAAGAATTATTAATAAAATTTAAATTATAAAAGTTAGTTTTCCTAGAATGACAATCTCAGTATGTCTTAAACAAGTAACCTATCAAATTAAGTTTTCCTATGTTATTTTTTATTTTATTTTGAAGTAATTTTCAAATATTTATGGTTGTAAATTCATTTAAGATAAAACTGTTATAAATGTATTAATTTGGTTTACTTATTTTTCATTTAAATAAAATAAATTAATCTAATTCAATTCAATATTTTTTGAAAAAAAGTTAATAAAATAAAGTTATCTTTTCATTCAATTCGACTTGGTTCGATTAAATATTGATCTTAAAATTGATATTTTGATTTCCAGCATTGTCACCTGCTACCGGCTACACCTGTCAATTAAGAGTCTCCGAATCGCCAAATATTGCAAGTTACAATACAACAACGCAACACTGTTCTAAAATATTTTTTGATTCTATTTTTTTTAATAAAAGAAGTACTTAATTACAAAAAAAAAAGTACATTTTCGTAATTTTATTGTTAATTTATTTTTTTAATATTTCCTTTTCATCTTCCTCCTTCTGTCACTCTTTCTGTCCGCCAGAGACTATTGTAAACACTGAAAAGCATAGATAAAAAATTATAAGTATATTTTTTAATATAAGGAAGAAAAATCTTTGTGGAAACCTAGAAGCTTTCATTTTCATGGAAAATCTCTCACATTCTCGGAAACCAAACAGGGGTTCTTCTCATGCTACACTCTCCACCAAGCGGACGACAAGTTGTAATGGCACGGCCAACTTGTCCAGCAGAACCATGTACGACGACGCTTTCGGTGGTGCACCGAGGTTCTTTAACGGTGGTGGTGGCCCCACTTTGTCGCCGAGACCTGAGGACTACACCGAGATTTTCGGCGGATTTCACGCGTCTCGAGGTTCGTCGATTCCGGTGTTGGATCTTCCCTTGATGAACGACAGCAACGAGGTTATGTTTGATGTACGGAACCCGAGGTTCAACTACGCCGATGTTTTCGGCGGATTTGATGGCTTGGATTTCCCTGCTTCGTACGAGGGCCTGATGAGACAAGCCAAAGCTGGTGATGATCACGATCACGATCACGATCACGATGGTGATTCATCTGATGAAGCTTGGTATGCTCATATCTTCCTTAATTTTATGAAGTTTTATTTTCTCCTTTGAGCTTTAAGCTAATTTTTGCGACAAAAATGAGTAAATATTTGGATCTTTAGTAAGATAGTATGCTAGTTACTCTACTGCAAAGTTTTGATTTTTTTCCTCTTCGTTCTTTGGGTACTCAATCTTGATGCATTTGAATTTGAGCTTTCTTTTTTCTTTTGAATTTAAATCCTATTAATATAATGGCTAGAATCAAGTATTTGTGTTTGATGGTAAAAGGAATATTGAGTTTCCTACTGGAAAAAATACCTGTTCTTTGAGGAATCTAAAAGGGGTGTTGAGGCAAGAACTGATATTTTTTTTAGTTGTACTCATTACCGAATCAATTATTTTTCTTGGATTCTGTGTTTTTTTCTTCTTCAATGAAGTGTAAAATGCATAGAAGAACCTCTTCGGAAATATGTTCTTTCAGTGTTTGAATTAGGCATTGTTTTGAACATCCGATGCATGTTAATGCTATGGTGATTCTTTGTAAAGCTTCTGCATATTGATTGTTTATTGTTGCGAGTGGTATAATTTTGTTGATGGTCAATTCATTTGTTTCCTCTCATAGGATGCAAGCAGAAACTGAGTCTCTGTCAGAGGGGTCAGATCATTCTGGAAAATACCGGTACTTTTCGAATGGAGATTATTGTGAGCCCATCGATACCGGTATGGAGTTCAATATATCTTATCACAAGGCTAATGTTAGAGGTGACGTGAATATATCAAGTGGGATTACCCATGTTGCTCAGCTGCATGCTGATCCTGAATATGCTTACGTAATTGAAAATCCCTTGCAAAAGATGGACAAAAAGAATCCGCCATTGGATTTGGCTGATGGTATTGATCTTGAGTTCACTAATGGTGTTATAAAGAAAAAACATCTTAGGAAAACCGTGTCCCATCCTTCTAACCGGACTACTGGAGAACAAACATTTACAAATGACTCAACTCGAAGAGAATATCGAAGAACTGGATCTTGTTCTGATGAGATGTTTGTGACAATTTCCAATGTCAACCTAAGAACTGCGCCATCTCATGTGCCACCTCCTTCTAGGCCTCCGCCATTTGTCAATTTAAAAAACGGAGACTATCAAAACAGACAACATGCTGCTCCTGGAGGGAAAATGGGTGATAATTCACCTCCTTTCTTCGATGTTGAGATAGATGCAAGCTCAGCTGCTGCAGCCTCTGCCGCTGCTATGAAAGAAGCAATGGACAAAGCTCAAGCAAAACTGAAGAGTGCAAAAGAACAACTGGAAAGGAAAAGGGAAGGCGTAAAAAGCTCAACCAAACCGGCTTCAAAGTCTGATGGGAAAAGTAAGAAGGAAAGGGCCAATAAGACTGTTGAGGGTTCCGGTGATATAGAAGTCGAGAGAGTGCTAGGTATGAATGGAAAAGAAGATAGTGGAAGTGGAATGAAAATGCATGTTAGAGAGGAGAGGCAAAGGGCTGTGAAAAGCCAGGTGGCTGATTCTCTAGAAGGCGAGAAACATTTTAATGCACCCAAAAGATTTGTAGTCGAGAAGCTCGGGAATAAATCCCAATCAATTCACGGGTTTGTTGAAATTGATGAAACTGATGAATGGCAGGAAGCAACTCAATTTTTTGAATTGGTTAGGACAGATAAGTCGAGAACAGTTTTGGAGCAGATGAATAATGAGAAAGTTTTGGTCCAGAGCATGAAATCTCATGAGCTCCAACATAAAGCCAAAAAAGCAAACATTGGGGCATTGGAGCAGCAACTAGACAGTGATGAGAAAGTAGAAGCTGTTAGGGAAGACCACGAGCTCGATAAAGTTGAGAGAGACATGAAAACGGCGAAAGAAAGTTGTGAAAGGGGGGAACCCACCAGAATATCGAGACCTGTTAAAGAGGCCCGTAAGCATAAAGGGCATGAAAAGAAGGTTAAAACAGCTCAAGAGGTTAGTGAACTAGAGGAGAATGGGCAGTCTCTAACAGCAGGGAAACCTTTGGAAAATGGTAAGAAACCAACTGGAACTGATGAATTAGGAAAACGTCAGCAGCAGATAAATGCTCAACAAAAAGGAAATATGGTTGAAGCTGGGCAGGATGCGGAACTGAAAGAGAACGGGAAGCAGGAAAAGCAGACTAGTAACAGTTTTGACGATCCAAAGAGAGTGAGAGAGTTCCAAAAACAGAAAGATGAGGAGAAAAGCTGGAGGGAGGTTTTTGAGCAGGAAAAGCATGAAACAAACCTTGAAGTACAAGTAGAGAATGAGAAGAGGCAGACAGAGGTTCTTGAGCTGGAAGAAAAAGAGGAGATTGAAGGAACTCGTGAACGAGAAGAAAGTGCAAAGAAAGAGGAGGAACATGAACTTGAAGAGAAGATATGGAGAATGGCTCTTGAACAGCTAGAGAATGAGAAAAGACTAAAACAAGCACATTTGCAGGAAGAAAATGAGAGGAGACAGAGAAAGGCTCTTGAACAAGAAGAGATGGTGGGGAAGCAAAGAGAGGCTCATGAGGTAGATGCAAGCAAGCGAAGACCAAAGCAGGTTACCGAGGAAGAAAAAGATGAGAGGCAACAAAAGGAGGGTTTTGAGAGAAAGGAAGCTGAGAATAGACTAAGAAAGGCTGGTGAAGAGGAAGCAATTGATAATGGGATCAAAGAAGCCTATGAAAAAGAAGCGACTGTGGAGAGATTCAAAGAAGATCACGGCATACCAGAGAAAGAGGTCCAAGATACAGAAGAGGTAGTTAAAAAAAGAGTAGTTGATCTCAAAGAAACCGAAGAATTACTAGGAGTAAATGATGTTTACCAGCATACTCAAAGGTATGAAAAAGGGAAGAAACCGAAATTTGCTGAAGGAACTCGTCATCGTGTAGAGGGAGAGAATTCTGTGGTATCTGATGCAGTAAATAATGATCAAAATATTGATGAAACTGAAGAATCTGGAGAATCCACCATTGAAGAAAATGGAAAGGTGGAGGTTGAATTCAGTGACAGTGAGAAGAAATCAGATCCATTGGTGAAAGGGGACGTTGGTGGAAGGTTGAATGCTTCTGGGATGGCTGGCTTAGAAGCTAAAGTCAGTCAGTTTAGAAATGATGATATTTCAGACTTGTCTTGTCAAGATGACGGTGTGAAGAAAACTGGCAAAGCTGGAAATGACATTGGACAAAGAAATGCCGAGAAGATTAACAGTGTTCCTAAATTGGACTCTGATAATGAAAACCAAGGGCTGAAATTTGGTTATGAATGGAAGGAAAGATTTAAGAATGTCAAAGAGGCCCAGGTTTACTCTCAGATTGAAGAAGACGACGATAATTTTGTATCTGCTCAAGCGGCAAAAGAGTATATTGAAACTGGAAGGAAACATGACACAGCTGATGTATTGGAAGGGGAAGAAAGCATTCAGAGAACAGCTCAGAGCACAGAAAGGAAAGACAAGAAGGTTAATGAGAGCCTCATACCTGAAGAGGAGGAGGCTGAAAGGCTGAAAAGAGAAAGAGAACTGGAGAAGGAACGTCTTAGAAAGATAGAAGAAAGAGAGAGGGAGAGGGAAAGGGAAAAAGATAGGATGGCTGTTGACATAGCTGCTCTTGAAGCTTACGAAAGGGGTTATGTTGAAGCTCGAGAGAGGGCAGAAAGGGCTGCTGTAGAAAGAGCAACTGCTGAAGCTCGTCAACGAGCAATGTCAGAGGTACGTGACAGACTAGAGAAGGCATGTGCAGAAGCTAGGGAGAAGTCTTCTATGGAAACCAGGCTCAGAGCAGAGCGTGCTGCTGTGGAGAGAGCAACTGCAGAGGCTCGAGAGCGTGCTGTCGAAAAGGCAATGGCTGAAAGGGCTGCTTTTGAGGCAAGGGAACGAGTGGAACGGTCTATGTCTGATAAGTTTTCAACTTCTAGAAACGTTGGAATGAGAACAAGCTCTTCATACTCCGTGAGTGTGTCCTTTGTGTTTTATTTTTATGAACCTTATGCTACCTGGCAGCATATTAATGGAGTCTTAATCAGCAGGATCTAAAGGATCAGCACATTCAGAGCAGTGGTTCTTTTGATGGTTTAAGATACCCATATTCCTCTACTTATAATGGTTGGCTATTTTCTTGAGTATTATATATATGTATCCTCTTAATACACTGCTTAATTATAAGATCACCCGAAATGAAGAAAAAAGTGAATTCTTGCTTCTATGCTACTGAATAAGTTTCTTTCCATGCATGAAGGTGTTGAAGGTGAATCAGCTCAGAGGTGTAAAGCGAGATTAGAGAGATATCGACGGACAGCCGAACGAGCTGTATGATATTTTCTTGTTCCTTCACAGTGACTAGAATGTTTATTTATACATGTCAAACTAACATTTAGCTTGTGGACTTTTGCAGGCAAAAGCTCTTGAAGAAAAGAACATGCGTGATCTTCTAGCTCAAAGAGAGCAAGCGGAAAGAAATGTACACTTCTGTGTTTTCACCTGTGAAGACATTTCAAGATTACAAAGTCATTGCATTTTTACCGTCTTTTTTTCCCCTCTTTGCAGAGATTTGCAGAAACTCTCGATGCTGATGTGAAGAGGTGGTCGAGTGGGAAAGAAGGGAACCTGCGTGCATTGCTTTCAACTTTGCAATATGTATGTTATAGTATCCAAAATCTGCTTATCATTTCCTTGTATTAATTCACTTGATCTTTGATGCTCTGTGTTCTGCCCAATGTTCTTTATTGCTTATGGACTTTGGTGCTACAACTTTCGAGTTAGATACCAGTTCAATGTGTTATTCATCACTCTCTCTTTTAACTGACTTGACATTCTGTCTTTAGTTTTTACATATTAAATCTTTATCCATAGTTATTCAAAACTGAAAACTGAGCTTTTCTTCATTGACAGATCCTTGGTCCAGAGAGTGGTTGGCAATCAATTCCATTAACAGAAGTTATAACTTCAGCTGCAGTAAAGAAAGCTTACAGAAAAGCCACTCTTTGTGTTCACCCCGACAAGTTACAGCAACGGGGTGCGAGCATTCAGCACAAGTACGTTTGTGAAAAGGTCTTTGATCTCCTAAAGGTTAGTTTCTCGTCTGCTACATTATTTCCAAAACACGGATTCGTGCCATTTACGCATTTTAACCGCTATGTATGTTTTAGGCTAACTTTTTGTTGGCTTCTTTATTTTCAGGAAGCTTGGAACAAATTCAATTCAGAAGAGCGGTAGCGCAGTCCTGAGTACTGATACCAATTGTATCATTATATTTCACTCTGTTGAGTAAATTTACATATTTGGCAAGAAAACATCCTCAGTGCCCCGTCTATTTTATGTATCTATTACTAAATGTAATCTGATTGTAACTTGACAATTTAAAGCTTAATTTATACTGTATTCAATGGGTGGAATATCGTATTGAAGGTGTTTCTGCCAACAGGAATGGGCTTAGAGGGTAGGTGGAGTCGATCGTTCTTTTAAAAAATTTAAATTCTTATACATTCTAGATATATTTATTATTAAAAATATGTTTTCGTCCTTTTTAAAATTCTAAAATTTTATAAGTTATTCTCCTCAAAATTTTATAAGTTCGTCTCTCTTAATATGAAATCTTCCGTTCATCTCTCCTAACGTATTTTCATGACAGAAACCTGTTGAATCATGATTCATGAGAACATTAAGTATATCTTGGGGTATATGATAAACGTTCAATACGATATCTATTACTAAATAATATTCTTTGTACAGCATGGGTATAGGATAAACGTTATATAGTAATCTGCTGATTGTACATGCTATTTACAGTGTGTTTCGGTAAGAAAACATTTTAATTAATAAATTATAAATTGTTTTCATTGTTTTAAATATAAAAAAAAACACTCTTTACATTATATGTTAAATAAAAAATAAATCTTGATTCAAATTAATTAAGTGGTCATGATATTTAATTAATAAACTATAAATTATTTGAATACTCATAATTCGAATGAATTTTGAATTCTTTAATTCCTGCTCAACCCTACTTGCCTAGAGTAGAATGCCACGGTCTACCGTTCTAGAAGAGGCTTTGAAAGAGCTCAACAATACAAATTCGGATCGGATAACGAGCCTTTGAAAATGAAAGAGTTGCGGGATTTTATTGTTTGCGTGAAAAGACAAGATCAATATTTAGGGTAAACTCCAAAATTAGTCACCAAATTGTTAGATCATTTTCATTTTGGCCTTTGAATTTTTTAAATTTATAATATAATCACTGAATATTTAATTCGCTTCCAATACAATCACTACTATTTCATGTCATTGAAGAAACTGACATACCACGTTGTTCCTTTCTCTAATCTATCATTTTTTTCCCTTTTGTTGTTGAATTTTCCTCTTTAAATCCCGACTACGAGTTCTTCGCCTATTAGCTCACCATCTTTTATAACAAAACCTTCCGAGTTTCTTTAGGTCGTGGAGTCTTCCAATAAAAATCCAACAATGCATTGTTTGTAGCATTATCTGAATTAAAACTAATCAATTTCATTTATAAAAAACAACAATCGCTTTTCATATAAAGAAATTCGACGATAATAATTTATTAGTGCATTATACTTACAAGTATAAGGAAAACTTCATTATTCTTCGTCCTGTCGAAAAGAGTCATGAAGGTACTCCAAGGCATGTCACACATTCAAAATCACATTATAAGTAATCAAAGTACACATTCAAAATCACATTATAAGTAATCAAAATACACATTCAAAATCACATTATAAGTAATCAAAGTAGGTTTGCGTCCATTTCCCTCTATTTTTTTAAAAATCACTATTACTATTACTTTCCTATAAGCTATACCTTATCTACTGGCATGCAGTTATCAAAGATATCTAAACATAAACATCGAGACTAAACCTTTCTTCGTGCAAGCAATTAAACAAATTGGCTGCAACACAAAACTTTCCCTCTTTATACTAATAACAACAATAATTGAACTATTCAATACCAACTCACAATATTTTCTATCCTTAACCCAATAAAAAACACCCAAAGTCAAGTTTTAGATTTATTGTAGAAATCCAAAGTTCTAACAATTCCTGGCACTTTGGCATTCAATAAAATATGCTCCCACATACGTGTTTTTTTTTTAAAGGAAATGCTGATAACGTTGTGAAATTGAGTTAGGTTAGGGATTAACTCATGAAGCTCATCGTAGATTAAGTCGAGAGGGATGGTGGGTTTAGAGTCGAGCATTTAAGAAGAAAGTTCAATCATGAAAGAAAAAGAAAACAGGAGGAGAGAAGAGGAAGAAAATAACGAGTCACATCAGGGTTTTTTTTCTAACAGTAGATAATGAACTAAAAGTAAATTAAAAGTTTGATGATTGTATTATAAATTTAAAAAGTTAGATGATCAAAGTGAAAGTATCATAAAGAAAGAGACTATTTTCGATGTTTATCCTAACTATTAAAACATTAAATGTTTGGAATAATGACACAAAGAAACATAAGCGGATTTAGTTTGAATGGAGAAAACAAAGTAAGAGCTCCAATTAATTTCTAATAGGTCACGGGTGGAATATTATTTAGATCCACTAAGATCTGAGCAGACCATTTTTTAGAATTCAATTAAAATCATTTGAATTCTTCTCAATTTAACACTCCAATCATTTAAACTCGACTTATTTTTAATTCACATTTAACCGATTCAAAATGATAAGTCAGACCTTTCCATTGATGAATAATTCTGCTACTTTTTACAATACTCAAACCCATTCCAAAGGCAATATATAATTTTTCAAAGAGATGCTCTATTTGTAAGGAAATTTCCCCTCACTCCCATCGAATATTTTTATTTTTTAGACGACGATTACAAAGCAATAAACTTGTTGTTTAATCTACAAAACTAATCAGTCCCGTTTTAGCGGCGATATTTAAATCATTTGACAAATGCGGAGCCGATGTCTGTTTCGTTCCCTGAAGCGTCACCTGACACAATTTTCGTCACGCTTGTTGGAGAAAAGCGACGAAAATCGAAGTCCAAAGCCAAGACTTGTTCAACAAAGGTGGCAAAATCTGACCAATATTTGATTACGTTCAAACTACAAAGGCACACCAAACAAAACGACGACCATTTTTAATCAACTACGGCGTGCAATTATTTCCTTAAAATTCACGATTATTTACTCTCACCAACTTGGTCCTTTTAGCCTCATAAATACATACAATCTTTGTTGCACAGCTACCAAAGTTTGTTCATCCTTTCTTCTAACCACACCATGGCCATGCTTAGAGCTTTCAGCACCAGAAGAAGCCGGAATGGCTATGAAAGGTTACTCGTTGCAACCGAAGTCGATGATGAGGCTGTTTCAAGCAATCCTCAGTTTGAAGCACAGTTGAAGAGAGCTAGAAGTGTTCCGGCTCGGGTTTTCGGTTTGTCGAGAAAGTTTAACGGCCCGGAATTGGGGCTGCCGGTAAAGAGTAAAGTGAAATCGTCGACGACGGCAGAGTCTAACAAAAAGGGTGCCAAGACAAAGAGTGTTCACCCACTTTTCAGCCTATTTGATGGCCGTCGCAAGAAGAAAACAACAGCTAAACCGGAGTTCGCTAGGTATATAGAGTACCTCAAAGAAGGAGGGATGTGGGACATGAATGCTAATATGCCTGTCATTCACTACAAATGAAGCTTTGTTTTGGAGTAAAAACAAACCCAGAATTTGTAAACATATTCGATTGCTTTTAAATTTGTACTTTTTTTTAAAGATTATTTAAGACATAGCGAGCAAGTATTGTGATTTTTCATTAATTGATTTAGTTAATAGCTTCTTTGATTTCCAAAAGTTTCACTTTCATTTCTGCAGTTCGCATATCAGTCTATTATAGTTTTTTCATTATCGGGAAGGATTTGTGATAAATATTCTACGAAATTTTATATTGGTAATGCATTTTAGGGATGGAGAATTTAGATAATAGAGAAATTATTTTATGGATTATACCATCACATCATTCATGATCCTAATGAACAAAAAATCACGTCATTTTTCTCATGTCAATTATATATTAGGATTATATTTTTCCAAATTATATTCTCTAATAATATACACCAAAATTAAAGAAAGTGGGGTTTATTTTTATTTTTATTTTTTTAATCCACTTTTCCCCATAAGTTTGATTGAGGCCTCAAAATTTAGAAAGTGGGACATTTTTCTGATGTCCTTGGGACTGTTGATACTAATGTGAAACCAGTGTCTGATAAGTTGTTTAAAGAGATTTTGGATGTGAAGCTTTCTCATGAAATGTAAGATAGTGTGATTGCGCATGTGTCTTCTAAGGAAATTACGGATGCTTAATTTGCTATGAATAGTAACAACCCCTGGTCCTGATGGCTGCCCAGCTAGTTTTTCCAGCTTTCATGGGGGATTATTGGTAATGATTTTTTCAGTGTTGTGAATTATTTTTTTGAGTCTTCTTCTATGCATGTTGGCTTTAATTCCACCATTCTTACTTTGGTCCCAGAAGTTGTTGCTCCTTTGTTCTGCCTCTGATTTCAGGCCCATATCATGTTGTTCCACTGTATATAAGTGTGTTACAAAAATCCTGGTAAATAGAATGAAAATGTAATACCTCAAACATTGGGTCAGTGACTAAAGTGTAAGGATTTAAAATTTAGCGGTTAAATTTTAATAAATTGAAAAGTTCAAGGACTGATTTTGGAAACTTTTGTCTAGGACATTTTATCAAAGATTGAAGAATGGAATGGCATTATGGTCTTTTAGGATGAAATGAATTTAAAATTCATTTTAAAAGGATTTTAACATGTGGGAATTAGAGAATAAGGAAGGAAAAGCCTAGAACATTTGGTCATCTTCTCTTCTTCTTTCTTCCATCGTGAGCCTCCATTGCTAAGGTAAGTTATGTTTCAAGTTGGTTGTTTCTTGAATTTTTTGGTTGATATAGACGATTAAGGAAGTTTAAAGATGAAGAGAAACTAAGGGATTGAGGGATTGAGGGATTTAATGGTGAATTAGTAAAATGAGTTTTTAAGGGAATGGAGGAAATTTGGTTAATAATTGGATTCTAAAGGCATATTAGACTTGTCAAAGGTCTAATTAAGGTATTTGAAGTATTAGCAATAATTAAGAACATGTTTGAGTATTGAGTATGATTTTTAGTTTTAAGTGTTATATGGAGAAATTGGATGTTAAAAGGAGATTAATGGATGTAAGTTTAGTCGTGTTAAGTGAGAATAAGTTAGAAGACATGAATAGAGTTAATGGTAAGAGATTTAAGTGAATTTTGGGTAAAGTTCGAAGTGATAGGTAAATTCTGGGAAAGGGTATCGGTATTGGAAAAACAATATCAACACTATAAGGTTAAATTGAAGGAAATTGTATGAATCAAATGAACAATATCGATGTTGATTTAAGTAGTATTGATACCAAGAGTAAGGTATCGATATTGTAATTGAAGATGAAATTCCAGAACGCCAAAACGATATCGATACTAAAGTAGGTATCAGTACCATAGTAGAGAAGTATCAGTATTGTGTGTAGAGTACCGATACTATTCAATATGAAATTTAAATTAGCGGTTTCATTCTGTTTATGTAAGTGCTAATTGATTAACCGTTAATTGAAATTTAGTATTGATCTTGGACATGTTGATGTGTAGATTTGGATTGAAAGCGTATTGAATGAATAGACATAGTTAAGAGATTGAACGAAAGTTAAAAGGATTTCAATTAGGAGTTACGTGAGACAAAGGTAAGTGCAATTTATTTATTTTATATTAGATATGAGGACGACCTGCGATAAGCCAACCTCGAAGGTTTTCGATCGAAAACAGTTTTATTTATTTTATGCAATATTTTTATGATGTTTTATATAAATTGTATTTATTAAGTACTGCTTTGTTTTTATTAGTATGTGAACATGTTATATGTAAATGTGTTCTACGTGAAAATGCTCTATGTGAATGTGTTCTATGTGAATAAAAGATACTTTGAATAATGAAATGAAAAATAATTATATGGTTAAAGCCCAAAGTATATGTATGAGAATTAGAGGTATAGTTGGCATGCCAAGAGTCGAGGGTTCTACGCGGTCCTTTGAGATAATTTTATGTGATCCTTTGGGATAAATTCTATGCGGTCATTTGAGACAAATCTATGTGACACTTCGGTGCATATTCTACGTGGCACTTCAATGCAAATTCTATGCAGCAGTTTCGACTGTAATTTTAGTGCACAACCTCAATGTACTCACATACCTTAAGTTCTCAGTGATATGCGTTGGACTAATAAAACAAAGTGATATAAATTGAACAAAGTGTAACATTATATGTTATTTTCATGAAATGTATAATGGTTTCTATATGTAATTGTTTTTAAATATTTTTATGCTCATTTATGCCTCACTAAGTCAACGACTTAGCATGTGAGTGTTTCACACATAGGTTCCAAGAGATCCGAGGAATAAAGCTAGGAGATAACAACATACACTTGAAGAAGATCAGATCAGAACAATTTAAATTGTAGGTATTTATTTTTGTTATTTTGAAATTTTGTTGGCATGTATCATAAAGTTTTGTAACCATACTATTTTAAGTTTATGAAAATATAAAGTTTTGTTATTTTAACCATACTGTTATATGAGGGTTTCACCACTAAATTCAAAGCAAACGGTTTTTCAAGGAGTCAAAGTTTTGAAAAGTCAATGTGACACATTGGATTCATATTCGGGTCGGGGGTTAGGGGTGTTACAGAAAATGTGGTTACCGAGTTTGATTTTGCCAAATCAAAGTGTTTTCCTTGCTGGGAGAGATTTGGTGGAAAATGTTTTGATTGCCCAAGAGTTGGTTAGTGGTTATGGAAGGAAGCATTTATCAACTCGTTGTGCTCTTAAGGTGGACCTTAGAAAGGCATTTGACTCATTTGACTGAAATTTATCTTCCAAGTGTTTAAGTTTATAGGATTCCTTGCTCAATTTAGGGGCTATGTTTGGACTTGTATAACTTATTCTAAATTCTCTATTGGTTTGAATGGAGGTCTTGTGGGGTTTTTCTATGGGGCAAAGGGTGTTAGACAGGGGACCCATTGTCTCCATATATTTTTATTATGGTCATGAATGTTTTATCTAGGCTTTTGAATCTGGCTGGTGAGCATGTAGTGTTGGATTTACACCCAAAATGTAAACGAATTTGACTTATACATATGTGTTTCGCTAATGATCTCTTACTGTATACTAAAGGTCATGTTGGGGCTGTTTTGGTTGTGAAGAGTATTATGAATGTGTTTTATAGGATGTTGGGCCTTTGTATGAATGTCTCGAAAAGTGAATTGTTTTATGCTGGTATGAGGAGCTCGGATTTGCAGAGTATGGTTGAGCATACTGATTTTCAAATTGGTATCCTTCCAACTCGTTATATGGGGGTCCCTCTAGCGTCTAAGAGCCTTTCTTACCTAGATTGTGAAGGCTTGATAGGAAAAATTGTTAGAAAGATTCGTTGTTGGCCCTCTAAGTGTCTGTCCTTTGTGGAGAGGCTGCAACTTATTCAAACCGTAGTGTTTAACATTCAAAACTTTTGGTGTAGAGTATTCTTGTTACCTTCTGAAGTGCTAAAGTAGATTGAACAATTGTGTAATGATTTTCTTTGGAAAGACTCAGATGGTTCAGCTAGTGGTGCACTTGTTAGCTGGGAACATATCTGTTTTCCAAAATGTGAACGGGGCATTGGGATTAAAAATATTCTTGGATGGAATAGAGCGTGTATGATGAGATGTTTGTGGTTTCTCCTTGCACAGTCTGGTTCTCTTTGGGTGGCCTGGGTTAGAGAGTATATTTTGAAGGGGTGCTCCCTATGGCAAGCTCTGTCGAAGAATAGGTATAGCTGGGCTTAGATGAAGATTATGAGTTTAAGGGATGATTATGATTTTGTGGGGGCATAGACGGGGTCTACCAAGAAAAGAAGGTTTGGGAAGCTCTTCGGTGCAAACAAGATAAGCTTCCTCAGTTCAAAGTCCTCTAAGGGGTTTTTCTATCCCTAGACACTCGTTCATATCATGGTTTGCTCTTATTGATCGATTGCTAACGAATGTCCGTATGCTCCATTGTGGGAGTCACATTGACCCTACTTGTGTTTTTTATTATGGTGTTGAAAATAGGGATAATATTTTTGCTGAATGTGGTTTCTCTAGACTTATTTAGATTGTTGTTTTATGAGCATGTCATGTTGGATATGGTCCATTGGGTTCAAGCTCCTGGTAGGGGTAAGTCCTTGAAGGCGACTGTCATTTGGTTAGCTTCGTGTTGATATCTTTACTATATTTGGCAGGAGAGGAATGGTAGATTACATTGAACTAGTCCTCGGTAGGTTGAGTGTATTGTTTTGCAGATAATACATTACTATTAGGTTGAGGTTGAGGTTGCTATTCCTTTCACTGTGCTTGCTGCAGAGTGGGACTTGGTATATGTTTTTTCTTTTTTGTTGGCTCATGGTTTATAGGTGCTGCATTTTTACTTTTTCTTGTTTGTAAATAGTATGTTGGCTTATGGTTTTATAGATGCTGCATTTTTATTTTTTCTTGTTTGTAAATGGTATGTATAGTGAAGTTCTTTTGGATGAATAAAACAACATTTATCCAAAGAAAAAAAAAACTAATTTGCAATACTCAAGTCTTAGTTCTAATGAATTTATTGGTCGAATTCTAAGTAATTATGATTTATTGCAGCCAATTATGCCTTCAGTAAGCTTTAATCGAATTTCAAGCATGGTTCCATTAGAGTTTGGTGATGGTAACTGATCTTCTAACCTTGACGTGCTTGAGCTTCATTTGAATAATTTGAAGAGCAATATCTTAAGTGATATTTCTCGATTTTCTCATTTGAAAATTTTAGATATAAAATAATAGAGAAGACCTCATTTAAAAGAGTCTATGATCATGTTCTTATAGGCAGGTGTACATTAATTAAGAAAAACTAAGGTATTCGATTGTTGTAATAAAAATTCCCAACTTTATTTCACGTTGTTGAGATTTTGGAGAGAATTTTCTTGTTAAACTCTTAGAGTTTAATTTACTTTTAGTTGAATTTTTACGTAACATTCGTTAATTAGTTGAATGATCAGATTTTTTAGTAATATTAAACAAAAAAATACCTTTGATAAAATAAAATTTTAAACGCCAGATTTGATTAAAAATTAAGGACTAAATTGAGAACTAATATTTTGGACCAAATTATTTATTTATATATTTATTTTTGAATATTTCAGGTGGTTTATAAAATAATATCTATCAAGAATTTTCTTAACCTATTGATAATACACAAATTATGTTGCAGATGCAACTGTCCGAATCTAGAATTTTTAAGAAAAAATATTCAGTTTAACCATGAGCTCCTTAAGGGTTTTAACCAAATTATTTATTAAGCTTACTTAAAAATATAGGAAAATATTTATTAATCGACCCGAACTAATTGGACCATTTTCGAATCCCATCCTCAATACAATGGGCCACGAGAGCACGATAAGCCTAACCTGATTCCACGAGGAAGATATTTTTATTTCAAGGGTTTTCTTTTTCTTTTTCTGAGGGTGAAAGATTCCATTAGATGTCCGTCAGCTCTTAATCCCTTTTAACTTTAACAATTAACACGTGTTCAGTTCCTTAACCGCCAATTTTATAGATTCCGAAAATTCTTATCCATATATTTATTAATCATCACAAGATTCCTGTTGCGTGAAACAACTAGAAAATCCTTTTCTCAACTCAAATATGTTACAATATTTTAAAAATATTATATGTAGTTTTTTAAAAGTATTTAAATTAATAAAATAAATTTATAAATAAACTAATTAATTTTTATATTAATAAAACAATTACAAAGTCTGAATATTACAATAAAATAAGCAGAGAAATAAATAAATAAATAAAAGGTATGTCCGTTGCTTAATTTTGGCGCTGTCAGTCGATCTCATTAGCTGACCCACGTCCCCACTCTTTTTCATTATTTCGCCGTTTTGCCCAAGACAAAAGGGGAAGGAAGTTTCGCGGTTTCACAAAAGAAACAAAAAAAAGTACCCCAAACGATGTCGTAATGAAACCCATTAAAACAAAAACATTTCCCAACACTTTGGAAACCTACCCAACATATCAGAACCCCGAAACTACCCCCATTTAAAACAGAGCCCCACATCCCGTCCCGGCATCAAATCCGATATCTCGGTAATTTCCCAGATAGCAATAGCAAACAAATGTCAGCGTTTTGAAAATTTTGTGGGAAGTGGAGGCGGTCTTCGCGATAATAACTTGGGGAACAGGTCTTCTCTCATTTTTCTCCATTTCTTTTAGTTCTTACTTTTTCCCCTTCGAGAATAATACCTATCAGGGAAGAAAAATTTGTTTGTTTTCTTTCATTTTCTTATGGAAATATAGATATAAGAAATGAAAATCCCCGTTTTACGTCTTTACTGCGCGCGTTCTAATCTGATATCTTTGATTCCCTCCAGCTGCGCCACCGTCTCGACCGCGGCTCGTGCTTAGGGTTTCTTGTTGAAGGACTCTATATTTATTAGCATATTAGGTAATACATCTCTTCTTTTTTTTCCATTTATAATTTCTTTTAGGTTTTTGCTCAATATGATTTTTTAAATTTGTATTGACGTTTTTTGTGAATTTTATTTTATTGTCCAGCTTTTGAATTAGCTTGTAATAGTTATGTTTTAGTAGGAAGCCTTTGTGGTTTTATTTTGCCCACTTATTTTCGTTTCTTAACTAAGAACCGGAAATGGTGTTTTTTTTTAATTATTGGCGGTCGTGTTCGTTTTTTCCCCTCCATTTTTTTGTTTTCTGTAGTTCATCAAATAGTCGAAGTGGGTGATTGAATTTTATAAATTTAAAGGGTTTTTTCCTTCTGTTTGGTTGCTGTTAAAATCAAGAGGAATTCTCGAGTGTTTCCTTTTGTATGTGTATGATACATGGGTTCTCTTTTACATTGAGTCATACTTGTGCGGGGGCATTAATTTACATATAATTTGATATTTAATTTAGGTAAATGAATTCTTATTCAAAATCAGCATATAAGTTTAGTTTTACTTGGAGCAAAAAAAATCACTTCAGTGTAGCAGTATAGCTGAAATGGTGAATAAACGTGTCTATATGAATTTAAGTTAATTTTTAATTTTCACAATTTTCTGGCTGCTGATTGAGTGATTTGTACGGATCACGCTTTTGGGCCTATTTTGGTTCACGGACTTCGGTTTTAGGGTTTGGATGGTTGTAGTTAGCTCGCAGTTCCCATTGGAGGAAAGAGTGTAACACTGAAGTTTAGGTTGTAGCTAGGTTGTTTGAACCGACTGTAAACAACTAAGGGTGAATATTATCAAGTTTATGGAAAGTAGAATGTTCTCACATGTAGCAGCAATGAGATTTTATTCTTTCCCTTCTGGTTATTCTTCTAAGAAAATGATACATATGGGGTTATTGACTTTAGCTTTTGCTTTTGATAATACAGAGCCATGCCTACTTTTACAGCAATAGCTTTGGATAGGTTGTTAGAACCTGGAGCCTCTAAATCTGTCGACAAGTCTGGTCCTACTATGAAACCATCTTTGCCCAATTCAAACCTGGAGAGGAGGAATAGTGCATCAGTTACTGAAAGGAAGGTTAATCGTCCCCAAATTTCATCACCTGCCCTCTATGCCACTCCTGAGGCAACTCCACTACCTGATTCACCGTCTTCTTTCCCTCCTTCACCTTACATAATCAATCACAAGCGGCGTGGTCCTCGCCTTCTGAAGAGCTTTTCTGAAAACAATGTGTCAACTCAGAAGAAAACGACTGAAGAAAGTGAGGTTAATGGGAAGGCAGAGCTGACTGAAACCAAGTCTCTTGATCTATCAAAGGATGATTCTATTATTTTTAGCATTCATGAACCTCATGAAGAGGAGCATAAGAATGGTGTCGATAATGGTCCTATTAAAGTAGAGCAGGCAAATAGTTTCCATGCTGGCTCCATTCAAGATGAGCACATGAATGGTGTCCATGATGGTGAATTTGGGAGCAGTAATAAGACAGCTGGAAGCATCCGAATGAATAATGGTATGGCCAGTGATATTGCCTTGTCGAAGGTTGTTCCACTGAACTTGAACAGAGGTGATGAAAGTGATGAGTTTTTTGATTCAAAGGAATCAATGAGTGTCACAACTAATACCGATGGAGATGATGATCCTGGGGCAGAAAGTGCTGCAAGGCTTGCTACATCAGGGATTGAGTTTTTTGATGCTTGGGACGGTATGTAGAGTTCTATTTTCTTCTGAATATGATCATGTATAGTTGCATATATTTAAATGTAGGTGCTTGTTTTTTTGCTGGAAAACAATTTTCTTGCATGGTTACAATCTTTTTCTTTTAAAACCTGATGGGTCTATTTGGACTGTGATAATATAATATGTGCTAGCCTTTGTTTAAAAATTTGCATTATGACTTAGCAATGAAAAGGCCTATGTATATGTATTGCATTATAGTTTTTTCTACGCTCACGTGTGTATGTATGTGTGTGTTCCAGTTTGCCTGGATGGAATATGACATTTTTCTTGAAATATTGAGAACTATGAACAATTTTCCCATAGGCATAGCTTAATTTAGAATAGGGATGATTTTGTGGTTGTTTTGGTAATTTTACTTAGATTTCTTATTTCCTTCAGAATTATCCTCTGAGAGTGGAACACAATCTAGTTATCGTGATACTGAAGCTGAAGTGCATGAAATAAGATTGAGCTTACTCATGGAAATAGAAAAGAGGAAGCAGGCAGAAGAGGCTCTTAACAAGATGCGATGTATGTGGAAAAGAATGAGCCTAGAGTTGGCTGTTGTGGGATTGTCGCTGCCTGCAGATCCTATTGATGTGACTGACAATGAACTGGTAAATCAAGCTGAAGAACTGAGGCAGCAGGCAGATATTTCACGGTCTGTATCATTATCTGTCGGAAGGGGCATTGCAAAGGCAGAGATTGAGTCGGAGATGGAAGCTCAAATTGACTCTAAGAACTTCGAAATTGCTCGTTTATGGGACAAACTACACTATTATGAGGCTGCGAATCAAGAAATGTCTCAGAGAAATCAAGAGGCTATAGGTGAGTTCCATATCCTGATTTTCTTTCTTCTGCATAACTAGTTGTTTCGGAAAAAAGAAACATGTCTCTTCATTTACTTTCTTCAGTTTGATTCTCTTTGTTGAAATTTGCAGCAAAATCTGAATATGATGCAGTTATGTTTACATTATCTGATTCTGTTGTAAATTATATTTGCTTCGTAAAGAGATGGCAAGGCGAGAGAGACAAAGGAAGAAAAGGAGGCAGAGATGGGTATGGGGTTCAATTGCAACTGCAATTACCCTTGGGACAGCAGCATTGGCTTGGTCCTATCTTCCATCAGCTAAAGGATCATCTTCTGGTAGCATTCCTCAAGCTTTAGATCCTGCCGATGATGAAGCTAAGTGAGTAGTACATTCACACTAGAGCTGCGAGAACCTGTCATAGTGGCAAAGCGAATAAGATGCATACATTCTTTCCTGTGAATGGCAGTCCAAACGGCCATGAGCCTTCGGTGGATGTGTAGAGCCTTAGGTGGATGTGTAGTGCCCTCTAATAATTTGAGTACTACTAATCGTTCCTTGGCAGTCTGTGAGTTGATGAATTATGGATTATGTATCGTTCTTTGTTAACCCAATTTTGGCCGAGTATGTGCGTAATGCACATAAAACCTTATTGGATTTGTTTTAAAGGTCTCGAATAGATTCAGACAGATATAATTTGTGTGCAAGACAATTCGGTGATAAAGCACAGCATGTGTGAAGTTATTAACCACCTGTTTATTGAATGAAATTTGTTTGGGATGGTTCAGCAATAGTGTCATCTTTTCAACTCCCGACTCCTCCTTTGCACTCTATAGTGTTCCAACATGGCATCCTAGTTCCAAGTACATCGATTTCTTATGCCACAGCGCGTTTCGACTGTTAATAAACATCTAATCTGTTCTGGAAAATATTATGACAGACAATTTGCCTAGGATGAGTTTGAAACTCCGAAGGCCTAAACAAATGACTTTGTATTAGTCTATCCTCAAATGTAAATACAGAGTTTATATTTCATCCTTGAACCATTTTGAATCACATATAGGAGAAAGCCTAGGCCAAATCCAGCACAAGTCAGAAGAAGAACTACCCTTACCAACAAAGAGGAATTAAATGCTTCTAAAACAACAGTATCTCATGACATTTACCACAAAAATGAGAATATCGAACCTACGACAGCACCCACAAGAACTTGATTAATCGTGTGAAGCTTTTGGGACACTCGAAGCCTGTGGCGGATGCACTTAGAAAAGTGGTTAAATTTAGCTTAATGTATTAAGAAAAAAAGAAATACAATTTTTGCATACCCATTATTTTTAAGAAAAGAAAATTAAAATTTTGTACTCATTCTTAATTTTCTGGATCCGCCTGCTCCAAGCCATGACTGCAACGCCAGAAAAAACGAACATCAATTAGTTACTATTGTTCACAAGCTTCAAAACATCAAAGCTTTCCGTTTTTAATGTAATTTTCCAGAATGTATACTCACAAAATATGAACCGAATGCCAGAGCCAGAACAGAGATGCTCACTGAAAGGTCATTAACCCCCAGCCATTCCAAAACCGTGAACAGCCAAAATACAGAATCGAAACATCATTCACTCAACTTGCAACCCAATGCAAAATGAACAACGGAAGGGGCTTACTTGAAGCTATGGTGAAGACGACAAGTTGCTTAGAATGGGGATTGTGGTTGAGGGGGGCTGCAGGATTTGTAGTATGATGCTAGAAGCTCGTAGCCTTATCTTCTTCGAGTTTTCCTTCTCGATAGCAGTTTGGGAGGTTATCCTTAGCTTGTGTAAGGTTGGTAGGGCTGTGGGAAGTTGAGAAGAAGAGTTGAATTGGGCTAATACTCGGTTCAAAGGAAAATCGTCCATCGTTTATATTCTTAGGGTAACTTAGTGTGCTTACATGTACGTATATAGGAAGAAATAAATTATAGATAATTTAGGGGTGTTAATAGAATTATTGGCGATATTGTGGATTGTATTAAGGGAATTGTTAGGGTAAATGTGCTTAGGAAAGTTATTAAGAATGATATTGTTAATCATCACCTTTGTATAGTTTGGAGGATTCATCTCCTTAGGGACTGTTGCTTTTGACTGTATTGATATATAGCAGTGCGTTTTGCTGCTTATTGGATAATAAATTGAGAAACTTGTAAAAAAACGCAATGTTATTAACTTGGAGCTACATGATCTTTCATTTTGTTTTATTTTTTTTATACGAGATTAATGTATTTTATTATCCTTATAAATAATTATCTCTCCTTTTAATCGTGAGATGTAATGTTTTATATCATTCAATTTTATGATGTCCTCTTCATGGACTCGCATCCACAATTAATCTATCTCATCTATTATATTTATTTGAATACTCAATGTGAAATTAAACAATCAAAAAATTGTTCTAATATCTCTTCTCACACCACTATTATCCTCTTCTTTTAAATCATCATTCAAATTTTAATTAGCTAATATTTTTATTTCCAATGCAGTTAAATATAATCATATCTATTGATTATCTCGATTAAAATTCGATCATGTTAGACCAATAAACGGGCGCAATTCCAAAAAGGATGATAAAAGGCCTCAATTTATAGTAGAGTTAGGCCCATTTAACAATGAAAATGGGTAACCACTTTGGTCATGGTTAAAGTCGGCTCATAACATGTGATTCTAATTTCCTAAGTTACAAGACTTGTGAAATGGGCCCAAAAACTGGCCATCTCTCTCTTAGGTGTGCCTATGGACTATATCAACTATGTACAATAAACTTTGAAGTACTTATCTGATAATATGCAAAAACAACAACGAGTTTATGCTTTCTGGCACTGCCCCAATTAACAAAAAAAAGGAATCGTCGAAAAGAACCTGAAACTCTTTGGTGTTTAAACCGCGTAAACTTAGGTAATTTTGCTCTACATACCCCAAAGGTTGTTTTCACAAATTTATTCTTTCACGTATTTCGATTTATAAAATAATAATCCAATCCTTCATTTTCAGATATAGAACTATTTTCCTTAATCAAGGGCGTGGATTATATTTTGGCCATTGTTGATAGAACCAACCCATGTGGAAGAATCCAATTTTTTTTTTATAAAAAAAAAGCAAAAAAAGATGTCATTTTCATGTTTTTTTAGGTAGAACAAGTTTCAGTCCACATAATCCATGTCACGAAAGAGTTGTTAAATAACAAAAGTGAAGTTTGCCTCCATTAGCCATTTAGCCTTTACAAATATTCCATGCATTGCTTTACAGGCAAGATAGTCTCCCACGTTATATTCTTTAAAAAAAAAAGGTTCAACATTTCATTTTAAGATCGTCATCTTGAAAACCATCCATCTCCCATCGATGAAGGCAAAGAATCCTTCACTTTTAACTGAGTCCAGATTCCAAGAAAACCAATTTCCACCATTGAATCCATACTCTTCTACGCTTTTCCATCTTCCTTATCTCCTCGTGCTTTTGGGATAATCTAGATATTTGTGGAGCACACCTGGTTTGAAACTACAAGTAATATACCTGGGGGAACTCGGAAATAAGGAATAAATTCAAGGGTCTGCTATCAAACATAATCTATTCTTGTTTGAAATCAAGGGTCTGCTACATACAAGAATAAAGGAATAATTGTTGATACAATGATACTAAGATTCGAACTTTAAATATGTTATACCAGGGACAAACACAGGAAATTGTGTCAGGGAGTGCGAATATTAAAAATTTAAGAGGTGTGAAATCAAATAATTCATTTAAAATATAAAGAAAATACATAATATATAAGGGAATTTAAAATTTCTAGGGTGTGGTCCATCCCTGGTTATACCTTCTCTGCATGTTATGTTGCACCTTCAGAGTTCTACATTTTATAAAAATTTTCAAAGTCTCCGAGGTTCTATATCCTTCAGTTAACTATGACTTCATGATGTAACTACCGATAAGTCCATGTAATTTACTGACAATTGAGTCTATTTACTTTGTCACCCTACAAATAATCATCATTATCATATGCCTGATATTATTATTAAGAGTCACTATAAATTTTTTCAAAATATAACATCTGAGATGAAAAGGAAAAATAAAAGATCTTATTGAAATAATCGAGAAGAACAATTTAAAAATAAATACATTATTTCATACTAACAGATTAGAAATAAGTTGAGACTTATAGCTACACAGTTTCATTAAAACAGGTTTCCGGCCACTCCTATGGTGTTTGAGATTATTAGTCATCTATCTCCCATGATACAACAACTAGATGATCAGCTACAGTTGCACTTCTGTAGAGATCACTAATCATTCTGTTGCCTTCATCTATCACCGAAAAATTAGAGAAGCAAAGATTTTTTTTTGAATTGTTTGAGTTGTGTTTAGTTTAGTAGGTTTACACAATATTTATAGGGATTTCACATGGTGAATTATTGAATTTTACCTAATGAAGCATTTAATTAATGAAAATCAATCAATTTCCAAAATTATTGTTTTGATTAAAGGAATATTTTAATATTTATCTTTTTAGTTTCAAAACATAATTAATTTTAAAAGGTATGTTCTATTTGAGAAAAAAATATTTCAAATATGGGTTAAAATTTCTACAAGCCCACGAAGGTCTCGACTGATTCGGACATTCACGTTACCCACGTTGTGCACGTCTGTACATTTTCGAACCAACAATGGGTTTCCCATTTTCCTCAATAACGTTTGGATCTATTGACAGTCAAGTCTATTCACTTTGTCACACTACAAATAACCATCACGATCGTAAGTCTGATATCATTATTAAGAGTCACTATAAAATATCTTGATAAAAGCCGAGAGAATGATCCAAAATCTCATTCTCTACTTATCATTTTTCTACCTTCTGATGGAGACATAAAATCTCGTCTCATGGAAAACCCTTTTCGCTCTGCTTAGCCTTTGACATCGGTTAACGACCTCCTAACCACACACTGTGATTCTCTTTCCAAATTAGAAAAAGTGAACCGCCTACGAGCATCATAACTCACTTATTCTTATCAACAATGTATATTAAATTAATAAGATAATCCAACTATAAGAGAACATAATACATTGTTATTAAGTGTATATGACTTTATCTGCAAGTGTATGAACAATCTGATGAGGATAATCTTACTAAATCTATATCTTATTAGAACATAACATATACCATAATTGGTGCGATGCATCCAGGAAAATTCTCATATATATATATATATTACAATTTTTCAAAAACATTTATGAATCAATTTTGGAATAATTTAAATATTTTATTTAGTTTTTAAAATGTTATAGGATCAAATAAAATATTTTCTTCAATAATGAGGCCGAAACTTATCCTTGTGGGGTTCATTGATGTGCTATGGTCAGACACATAATTAAAACGTAAGGTTTCCCCCCTCAGCTTCATCAGGATTGGATGGCCAAGGCCTACAAAAGTAAATTAGTTGGTGGGGGGGGCCTTTGAGCAAAGCAAAACAGTGGTTTCTCATTTCCTTTTGGCTTGAATGAGATAACAGTAAGGTGCATGATTTTCGGAATCCGAAAGATCAAAATCATATTAAATGGAAGAGCATGTATACTATTATTTGTTGAAATGAAAGGTCTCTGCCAAATTTTAGTCTTTCTTTTTTATCTTTCTTTTATGAGTTTGGTTACTTGGAAAACCATGGGTGTGTATGTACTGTACGTACGCAGCTCAGTTCAAAAGTCCATAGAATTGAAGTTGAAACGCCAAGCAGTATTTAATGTCAGATATTTATATGTATTAAAGCTTTCATTCATAATATTGTTGATTTTAGTCCTTTCTTTTCGAAATGTCATTTTGCCCTCTACTGTTTCCAATTTCATTTTATGCGTTCCATGGAAAATTGAAATGAAGTATATTTATAATGCCTCCCAACCCCCCCCCCCCAAAAAAAAACAAAACACAAATGCATCCTTTATTATCTTTAATTCTAAAATTAAAAGGTCAAATTTTGTTATTACTTCATGTTTTATGCATAAATTGAAATTTAGTCTATACATTCTAATTTACTCGTTTTTCATCTGAATTTACAGAAGAAAACTGTGTTGCAAAAAATTGAAATCAGTTTAATTTGATAAAAGAAAAAAAAACTAAAATCCCCAAATTCCCAAATTCCCAAAAGAAATTTAAAACTGTTTAAAAAAACAGGATCAGGAAGGTAAAATTTAATAAAATCTTTTTCTGGCAATTGAAAGTCCTTCAACTTGTAGTTTAAAGGAGAGGCCAAATCAATGACAAGAATCTGCTATCATAAAAATGTACATAAAATCATCATTGAAAACTGGTAAACAATGAACAAATAAATAAATAAATATGAATAAAATTCAATACATAAAGTCATACATAATGACGTGTCTGACAAACACATCTTCTCCACAGCAGATCCGATTTCTAAATACACAAGAGTTGTCAATAACCAAATGTCTAAATTATAAAGAAAAAAAATCGGTGCATCGATTATCTAAACAGAAAGTGATGATGTTTTTTTAAGTGAAAGTAATCAGAGTTTTACCAAGCACTCCTCGTGTATGTGTAGGAATGGGTACGATATTTAAATTGATGACTTCTGATTTTACTAAGGTGAATTTTGTAAAAAAGTTAAATTTAAGTTAGATGTTTAGAATATAAGATTGAGTTGGACTAAGTCAAAATTTAGATTGAAAAATATATAGTTTAATAAAAATTAATATTATTATATGACATTATGGATAATTAGAATAATAATCAAATTCATTAAATCGGATCAAATGTATATTTTGTTTTAAGAGATAAATTGAGTTTTAGGTCGGATAAAATCATTCTAAATTCGGATCAAATAAAATTTTAGGTGAAAGAATTATTTTATCGATTTAAATTGGCCGAAAACTCAAACTATACTCATCCCTGGTATGTGTAAATCAATTATTAGTATTGAATTATTTATATAAATTTTAATAATTAGAGTTAGTTTTAATATAGTTGTATTTTCACGTAATTTTAAAATCAAGAAACAGAAATAGATGTCCACGTGTGATGTACTTTATGGGCCTCTAATCTACCAAACCATAAGGATATTTCTATATATTTGCTCCACAAAGCCTGCCTTTTTAAAATTTTATTAGACCCCTTTCATCTTTGCTTAAAATTTTAGTTGTTATTAATATTTCTTACTAAATAAATATAAATGATTCCTAATTCCATGACTACCAGTCTATAAAAAAGCATTCCCTTGGATGGTTAAGTTCTCCGAAAAATAAAACCTCCCTGCTCTTACGGTTCAACTCCCCATAGCCTTCGAATTTCCCATTAATTTTTCCAGAAAAATTGAGTCATCAGTTTCCAGAGAGCCAAGCAGAACTATAAACTTTTCAAATTTCTTTCGGTACTTAAGCATTGAATGCCTTGAAAACTTTTGTGTAAATGGATTCGTTCGTTTTCGATAACGTGAAAGCAGAGAAAGCCAAGGCGATGAAGAGGTACAATCGGCTTCGAAGCTTAGCGAAGGCGTTTCGTTTCTTGGAATTGCTCTTGGCTTTGCTGTTTTTGGCGTGGATCTTCGAGCGCGTGCCTTCCGTCGTCAAGGTCTCCGGTGAGTTCATTTTGAAGCTCGGCGGGATCGTCGCGAGTCCGCCCTTCGTCTTCCTCGTCTGTAACGTCATCATCGTCACTCTCGTTGCAAAGTCCGGCATTTTCTTCGCCGTTAGCAATGCCGATTCCAAAATCTACGAGGAAATCACCAAAATCGCTGAGAATCGCTCCAAATCGGAGTCTCAAAACGAGATTGTGTATCAAGACAAGGAGATCATCTCTGAAGTAAACACAAATACTCTCAGATGCAAGGAAACGGAGCCGGAGTCGGACTCCGATCCTGAGATGGATGGCCCGAGAGTCTATGGAAGGAGCAAGTCGGAGAAGTTGCCGATAAGAAAAACGGAGGAAGAAGTGACGAGGGAACTACGACGGTCGAAGACAGAAAAGTCCCGGAAAATTGAAAATATCGACGATGAATTGTTCCCGGAAGATGAGTTGAGTAACGAAGAGTTTCAACGAACGATCGAAGATTTTATCGCTAAACAGCTGAGGTTTCGCCGAGAAGAATCTATGTCTATTGTTCTCCAATGTTCAAACTCTGAAAAAATAATTTTACCTTCTCAGTAAATTTTAACCACAAAAAAATAAAGAAAAAAACATTGTTTATTACTGTTTCATTTTTTTCAACTTTGGAAAGAGAAAGCGAACAGACTAGTTATGGTATGGTTGTACAGTGCTAAAACGAAAATGGAGTAATTTGCATGTTCAGCGCTCTTGGTAGGGTTTTTACGTTTAAAATGAAATTTGATCCTAGGAATAAAAAATAAACTGGTTATTTTAAATTATAGTATTTTAGGGTAAGATATATAAATAGTCCCCAAACTTTTAGGGTGCTTACATTTTAGTCACCTAACTTTTAAAACTTACAATACAATAATCGAATTTTTAGTTTGTTTTCAGTAAGGTCATTATCATTACCTCCGGTTAGTTTTAGCTAACATGACATTTAACTCCAATTAACCCCTCTTCTTCTTATTATTCTCTCACTCTACCTCCGGTTAACGGTGGCTTACACCGCCATCACCAGCGTCACCAATGTCGCCTCCTGATCTCACTTCGACCCTCATTTCATACTCACTGTCCATCGTTCATCCTAAATCGTGAGGAGACCGTGCGAACACCCATCCCCGATGTCCATTGTCAGTTGCCAGTAACCATCACCACTAGTACCAGTAGAAGAAACGCCCCATTCCGACCAAAACCTCACTATACACTTGTCGAGACTTACCTCTGTTCGTTGGGGACGAGATTTTGGGGAGAGTGACCCAAATCTCGTCCCCAACACCACTTTTATGTTTTCATTATTTTTGGATGATTGGTTGTTTGCCACATCGCCACCACCGTTTGAGACCTCGCATCGTTCCGACCAACCCAGTCAGTGTTGCCTCTTGGCGTCATCCCTCCTTCGTCTACCTTTGGCTAAGAAGAAGGAGAAGAATGAGAAGAAGAAGAAGGGGGTTAGCGGGAATTAAGTGTCATGTCAGCTAAAATTAATGAGAGGTAATGATAAGGACCTTATTAAAAACGAACTAAAAGTTTAATGATTGTATTGTAAGTTTTAAAAGTTGGGTGACCAAAATGCAAGCGCTCTAAAATTTAACGGGAGTAATTTGCTTGTTCGGTGCTTATGGTAGGGTTTTTACCTTTAAAATGAAATTTGATCCTAAGAATAAAAAACAAACCGGCTATTTTTTTTTTTTGGTGAATAAGGAAACAGAACTAAAACCTAATTAATACTTAAATTCTCCTCTTCCTGGAGCAATGTTTTTATTTCGTCTGATGGAGATGTGTAGACATTGCATCTTCCATCCCGTCCGAGCAAGCTTTTTCATTCTATCTGCAACCTTATTGCCTTCTCTCAGTACACGTTCCAATTTCACTTCCCAGTTTCTCTTGACTATCCCACTAATATGTTGATGCAATGTGTTTGCATGCAACATTCCCTCTATGCAGCGTGTTGATTACTTCTAAACCATCGATTTCGAGAATAATCTTACGCGCACCTGTATTCCATGCCCCTGATAAGCCTTCAAGCACACCCCATAATTCAGCTTCTAGCGCCGTATATGTGCCTAAGAATTTGGAGAAACCTGTCCACTAACGTCCTTTCTCAATCATCTGGTTCTTTTAAATTATTGTATTTTTATTATAAATAAAAACTGAAACTAAAGGTAAAAAGTTAACAATGCTTATATCTTGATAAATTTAACTTTATTTAATTCCAAATTTAATTTATGATCCAACTATTAGTATTCAATGAAAACAAATGTCTCATGTCAAGGTCGATGGAAATTCATTTTTCGTGTCGTAATTAGTTTTGAATTGAATCATTAATAACTTCAATTATAAGATGATATTTTAATATGATTACATCATTCATTTAAACCAAACTTAAGTACACTATCCTGCTTTTGTTACTTAAGGCACATTACAATCATTAGGTAATACAAACAAATTTGTTTCTGATGATTTAAAACTCGAAAGTTTGGATTTTTAAGACTGATTGTCAGTCTAATCATTCACCCAAGCTTCCTGTTACTGTGTAAGTGCAGATTAAGCACTGTCCCACTAACATCTTCCTTAAGCAACAGAATTTAGTGCCTAAAGCATCAATCATCATCCAATAATTTTCAAATCAAGAGCCTTGTATTATTTACTTTCCCTCCACCTTTTGTTACCTTTTCCTTTATATGGCCAACCATAGTTAATTCCACCAATAAAAACAACTGCCAGTGGTTGAATTTTGCTAATTTCATTAGATATTAAAGTGGGATTTTTAACCAGAATTATGGCATGATTTTTTTTATTACTTTCGTTGCAATTAAAACTTGCATTACATTATTGAAAGAGGGGGAAAGAGAACCTGAACAACATATTGACACTTCTGGAGCAGAATTTGTTACAATAAAACACTTTGCTTTGCACCCTTTTCTTTTTCTTCAACTCTTACATGTTTCTTTTCTTTTGTCCAGAAGTGTCAAAAGAAGGTTTCTACTTTCTAGGGGTTTTTTTTATTAGTGAGTCAAATGTGACGGGTGTTTTAGGAAGTTAAATTTAAAACGTAGAAATATAAAATTAGATCATTTATAAAAGATACACAAAAATACCTGAATTATGTAACAATTTAATTTTTTTTTAAAATACAATCGATCCCAACATACCCTTTAAGCAATCCCAGCTGGCCACATACATTGCCTTTTGTAAAAGCATGTATTCTTTCATTTACATTTCAACACCTTGCATTATAGGTTTAAAAATTACATTGAATTGAATTCATCTAATAGTTTCAGTGATTAAAAGGAATATTGTTTTTCTTAAAGGTCATGAGTTTGAGCAGTTGTGTATGTAGGATGTGTATGACTATATACATTGTCAATGACTAAGAAAAAAATATGAACATATATTACATTGTAATCATATCAGAGTATTAAAAAAATTCATTTAATTTTTTCATGCTTTCTTTTATACAATCTTGAGACATAATTCATTTCTAATCAAAGACAATATCGAGTATTAAGAATTTAATTGACTGTCTAGAAAAATGACATTTTAGATTTTTTTCTTCAAAAGAATAAAGAAATCCTTCAATAACAAATATATATATCCAAGGTGAATCATATTACCAATATGCTTTGTCAAAATTACAGTGTACTAACACATATCCCTCGAGAGTTATAAAGGATGAAAAGAAAAGATATTCAAACATTTGATCAAGAACAATACCTATTATATTAAAAATTGGACTGATTATTTGAAGGATGTCTATTCATAAATTTCTTCTAAAGGAATCGGAAAAATCCCTCGACACTAACAAATAAATGAGTTAAAAATACCACCAAAAAAAGCTACTAATTAATCCTTAAAAAAAATTATTAATTGAGCTCAAAAATATTCTCCAAATCCACTTTTTTAATTAACTTAATTAATTTAAACAAGAAAGCGGGGACAAACTTAGGTAATTTTTTTAATCATTTCTAAATGAAGAAGGCAAAGACAATTTTAGGTTTCATCTTTGTTCCACAATGGCAATTAATATTTATTGTGGGGTGCTCCATGTTTTAGTGATGTTTGCCTTTGCCCACTTTAATTTAATTTTAATTGAGGTGCTTTAATGACAATAGGAGAAGGCATATATTCCTTCAATTTAGCAGCATTGGGCAATTATTCCTAAAGTTGAAAAAAGAGGTCTCACACTATCACCTATTACCACTTTACCAGAATAATATTCTTCTTCTTCTTTCAAAAGCTAAACTAACTGTTGATTGATGTGCACATCCATGCAAATTTCAAATTTAACCTCAACCTAAATAATGTGGATTCTTTTAGCTAAATTTTGTTTTCTATATACAAAAACATGAGAAACTAAGATTAATAAATTCATTTGAAACTTGGCCTAATTATTATTATTTTTGTAAAACAATGCATTGTTAGAATTAAAGTTTATATTAAGAGGGGAGGTGTTTCGTTCACATTGAATGTTGAACAATTTGTTGATATCTTTTCATTGTGAGATTGATCAAAATTTCGAATGATCGGATGGTGTACTTTTAAGGAAGTATTGTGATTGTATCGCTATGATTCTCTCTCTTTTATCCTGTGGTAGGTCTAGGAGAATGCCTTTGAAAAGGAGGGCACGGTCAAAAATCATGCAAGACAGAGAATGTTTACCGTGATCTAATTGAAAAATTGACAATAATAATAACCAAATTATAAAATTGATGAAGTTTAAAAGACTTGATGGTGTAATTGGAGAGAAAATGTCATATTGGACCTAAACCTATACCCTTTGAGGGCAATGGCGTGTAAGTCATGGTACCACTAAGTTATTTTGGATCTTATTTTCAATAATCATCATTATTTAATCGCTTTCTATCTACGTTAGAAGGAATAAGCCATCATCGATGATTATTATAAAATATTTTTTTGTCTACATCATTAAGAATAGTAAATCATCTCGAACCCCAAATCTTACTCGTACATCAACACTATTTATGCACAAATGGTCACTTGCTCACTAATTTGTCGACCTTCGAAATCATTTTTCTTTTAAATTTCTGGAGAAGGTAACGTTGAATTTGTCTTTTCCAAATAACATCAATATGTCGTTGAAGTAAAATAAAAAAGGTGGTTCAGCTAAAAAAAATATAGTCTTTGTTTCGTTTGTTATAATATATGTTCTACATTTGTGCAACGCAAAGTGAAACCACATATTGTCTAAAATGTCCATTTTCTTCTGTGCCAATGGTCTGAAATTACCAACACTCTATACTAAAGATTTGCAAGACCTTCATGATTCCTTTTCCCTTACTGGTCTCTTGTTACTTTTTTTCCCTGTATGGGGAAGTACACATCCAAATCACCCTGATTTTTTCGTTTACAATTATCATTCCCAAAATTTACAATTGAGCAGGGGGGAAAAAGAATTCAAACTTGAATCATCAAAATTCAAAGCATTGTACAGTTTCTTCATTACTGAAAATCGAAACAGATATGCAGGATGCTTGGAATACCCCCAGAGCTAGCAATCATGGGAAAGAAAACAAAATAAGCGTACACATGTACAGCAAACACCCACACAGTTCAAATTTGTAGTCCAATTCTCTTTTACCCATGCATCGAAAGATCACATGGGGAGTCTCAATCTTTGTTGTCTTTGACAAGAAAACTATTACAGTATCCCTAATGGAGATTGTGCCCATTCTCATGCGTGCCGTTTGTCTTGCAAATTCTCTTCAAGGCCCCCACTATCACAAAAGAGAGGGGAACTGAGTTGCATGGTAATGAGTTCCTGTTAATTTGTGTGGAAGCATTTATATTTGCAGGACTTTGAATTGAGTAAAAAGTTGGGGTTTGATGGGATTTAAATGAGTATATATATATACACAGACTGCCTTGTGAAAATAGAACTATTAAAGGCAAAATTAGAGGGTTCGCAGGGTCTAGCGTTGTCAGCTACATGTGTAAGGCAATTTAAGACTTGGGGTGTCTGGTTTAGTCTGCCTGGGGACTATATTGAATGTTGCCTTTGCGTTATTGAATAGCATCTCCAATGCCTTTTCTAATGTTTTTACCCATCTTCTGTCTGATAATTGATTTATATATCATATAATATCATGCATGCATGCATGTAATTTATGTGTATATATATATATGCTTGTGTCGCCTGAAATGCTAAACAAAAAACTTAATTCTTGTTTTTCCAATTATTTTAATTTACATCTCAAGTACTTAATCTTTGTTATTATTTTTTTCTTAGATATCTTGTTTTTACTTACACTCAAGTTTGAGTTAATTCAAATAAAAAATTAATGACTCTGCATTGATGCAGAACAATTGTGTATATTAATTTAAGATTTTAAAACATTATAGTTTTTAAAATTAGAATAAATAATTAAAATATATATATCTTGATCCATCGAATCGGTTTTGGAGAGAATTTTTTTTAATATCAGATTAGGGAGAGATTAATTTCTCTCACTTGACCTGTTTAAAATTTGACAACTATCTTGATGGATAAAATATTTTTTTTCATCACATATGAATAGAGAAATTACCTAATTTTTAGAGAAGAGTTTTAATTTTTCATATTCACACCCCATTGAATGTGAATTAATATTGAAACTCTGAAGCTCACTCAAGCTTGGGAGAATGGTATGACCAATTTACAAATCCAATCCGATAGTATGGAGGCTCTGAAGCTCACTCAAGCTCCGTTGGCGTCTTCGAGCCCGATCCCCCTGGTTCGTTATATTGATAATTTGAAGAAGAAGGTTTCGTCGATAAGCTTCAAATGGGTGCCGCGGGAAGCAAACAAACCGGCTGATATGCTTGCTGAGATTGCTGATCACTCTCAGATTGCCACTGTTGTTCTTCATGTTATCCCTACTGTTGTGCTTCCTTTGTTGAGAAGAGATATCCTTGGACCTCCATATTTAAAGTCTAAACATTAGTTAGGTTGTCTTCTATTATCATTCAAATATATATATATATATATATATATATATATATATATATATATATATATATTCAAACTCTTAAGATACACACTCCACCTATTAATAATAAAACTCTTAATATTCACATTCCATCAACGTAAATTAATGTTAAAATATATCTCTTTGAACGCTTAATCCACTAAATACATAAAATTATTCAAGAACGTCAATTTAAGAGAATTTGTTATATATATATATACAGTAAACTTCTGTATCTTTTGGTGAAATAAGATATTCTCTATGTTTGTTTCTCTCACGTTGAAAGAGATGAGGAAAATAATGCATAGAAAATTATTATTTCAAACTTCTGCTACTCCCTAATAATAGCATGCCTGTCATTAGAAGCTTCACTATATTACTTAAGCAAAAAGACAGGAGAGACACCCAAAAATCTAGGATAACTTACATAAATTTATTGTCGGGTAATTAAGGGTTAGGTATGTTTGGTGTTGTCCCTACTTGCTTGTTAACATTTCTTTATAATCTGGAGAAAATCATATTGATCATCTGCTACCTGAGTCGATCCGGCCAAAAGTGTTCCATTTTGTATCCAGAAAATGTGCAGTAAGCTGATTCGTTTGATTATCTTTAAAGCTCTTACCAGTTTCTCTTTCCATCGTTCTTTTTTCACTTATAATTGTATCCACAAGTATGAAGGTTTGACTATCGGACGTGAAAGAACTTGTGCACTAAACTAAATACTAGCCATTAACAATGATATTTTGGTAGGTCCAGGCGGCCCACGCATTGTAAAAAGGAAGAGGTAATGGGCCGATCAGATTATTAAGGGGTTTAGATTTTTAGACTAATGTTGTCGAATGGCCTGATAACATTCGCTCGTTTTTGGTCTCAACTATGCTCGTATGAAATTTAAATTTAAAATGTATCGTATTAAATCATTAATAATAATAAAGTAAATAGAAAAGTGTATTTTAATGTATTTATATATTTAAATTCTTGAGTCTTGATGTTGAAATCTCCAATCTTATGATGTTTGATGTTTTAAATTAACACTCAATTTTTTTTTTTAAAATATTTTTATTGCTATGACTTATGAAGATGATTTAGGAAAAAATAACTATTTATAAATTGAGAACAATAACCTTGAAAATAACATAGTATATCAATCTTAAATTTTAATCAGCTCGTTATTAATTTAAAATTCATTACTTGAATATTTATTTATAAGTAACTCATGTTTTATTTAATTATTTAAATTTAATTAATCCTAACCGTATTAAATTATCTTAGAATAAATTAATTTTATTTATTTATTATATATATCATGCTAATAGAATTTAACATGAAAAATTACTTGTTGGGGATATGCTTTACAGCAGGAGTATCCTTTTCCTCTTACAGGTGGTTAAGGTTTCATTATTTTGTTCGACTTCTTATTCAGCAAAACCCAGAAAGAAAATTGTTAATGTGTCAGCTTCGGTTTTTAATTTATGGATGTTAATAATTGCACAAAAAAAATCTATAAAAACTCTTGACAAATTCTATTATTTAATTTGCAATAAGAAACAGCGACCACAAATAGTTAAAAGCAATATGCATGCATGACATCACTCTTGATTGGATATTACAGTGTGCGTAGCGCAGTTCATTTCTACCACACAAACTGACGATTGATCTAACGATGAAAGAAAGGACACTGACGAGTACGATGATGATGATCAAACTTTTATAAGCGAAACGATGACATTGACAAACTCAGTCTTCTCCTTGGACATGCGATCAGCAATGATTTCTCTGTACCTTTGGAACACTTGATCGACGATGGCTTCACCAAAGTGGCTGACAATTAATGGCTCCGCCACAGCTCTCATGCACTTGGCGACGTTGTACCCTCCATCTTTGAATGCATCAGACAAGTCGATTTCGTTCTGATAAGCGTTCCAATTTACTTCGTTCCAATCGGTCGATGCTGAACGACCCTTCTTTCAAAACCTCATATTTAACCTCTACCTGAGATGGTGTGTATTGAGGGATGTTGAAGGTGTTCAGTTTCTCTTCTTCTATCACTCCCTGCTTTCATTCAAGCAGCTTTAAATTAGTAAGAGGAAAGTGTAAACGCAAATTGATTTTCAACTACATCGGCCAGTCGGTGTCAGACCAAGTGCTGGAAAATGATACATCAAAATCAGCTAATAAATGATGTATTTTTATACCTCAAGGACCATATCATTGAGAGCCATGGCTAAAAGCTCCCAAATGTAGCAACCCTCTTTGCTTGAAGGATCATCACTTCTTCTACGTAAGACAGTCAAAACCATTCGCCCTCCATCCACCAGTTCCTCCGATCTACACTTCAAAAACAAGGAAAAATCTTGCTGGAATTGCTTATAATACGCCCGGGGTACGTCCGGTGGACTTGAGCTGGCCATGTAAATGTTCCCTTTATTATTTTCCAGCCCTTCAGGAACCTGAATCACAAAACAACCCACTCATAAATTAAAATAATGATATAAATAATTGTATATGTAGTACACAGTACTCCAATAATATATATACGGAACCTGAGAGAGCCATTGGAGACTATACGAAGAGTGTACAAAATGAAGGCTGTTTTTCCTGAAAAGCCTGCCGTAGAAAGAACCAGGTACCCCGGTGAAGAAACACGGTCCAGCGTCGGCTCCAAGTTGGTTCCTCAGTTTGTTTTGGAAGACGGAGAGGGACCTGAAAATGGTGTTGAAGTCATTCCCGGGAAGATCGTTGAGAAAGACTTGATACTCGGGGGATTTTCGTCTCATCTTCCGGCGAATACTATCCACCGCTTTGATGAGTTCAGACACCGCAAACAAAGTGTTGGGTCCCGAAGAACAACCCAAATCCGCGATGGCTATTGCCACCGGATAACTGCTTCTGTATAGCTTAGTTATGGCGTCCTCTGTGATTGGCTTCGTCATCGTTATCACCTTTTGCTGTCCCCACCAGAAAAACACACACACACACACAGACAATCACATACCGTAAAAGTTACTGTCAAAAACATATTAAAGTGTTACATGTATATATATACCTGAACAAAAGAGTTGTTTGCATAGCTGGTTTCTCCAACTCCTCCATTCATGTGAAGAACTTGACCTACTTCCATGTCGATCGATCTTATCTCACTGATTACTATCTCTCAGTTTTTTTTAAAAAAAATCTCTCAAATCTTTCTTTGTGTAGTTAAGAGACGTTGCATGAGCTCCTATTTATAGACGTTGGACGAGCAAGATTGCCTTTATATATTTTAACCGCAATATTTCTTTCCTTTTCGATTTTTTTGGGACAAAAAAGTTTAATTACCAATTAAATAAGTCCAGACTATTAGAAGGATAACTACAAAATCTTATAGGCAACAACCACGTATTTGTCGAAAACCATCAAAATTCAAAACCATTTTACTTGTGTTTCTACGACCAAGAAATGTTATTTCAGGTTCATCGGATTGATTTGTCTCCATTTGATATACCAATAGATTCCCTTCAGGCCGAAACTTTTATGGATTAACTACTTTTTAAGTCCTTCAAAATTTTAAGTTAAATAAATTGAGTCATGGGTCCTCAATTTCCATTTTTTAACCATGATTATTGGTTTAAATAGTTTTTAGATTTTTTTATCAATTTCGAAATTAGGTATATCATACCCTCCTCTCAATATATAACTTTTTAAGATGGCTTAACAATTAGGGGATGGCAGGGATCTTGGACCCTAAATTGATTAAAAAATCACTTGTATCCCCTTTAACATTGAAAGTTTTTAGATAAACTAATGATGAAATTACATTTTGACTCATATAAATGATAATATTCAAATATATTTTTTATAAATTATAAATTTAAATTATTTCGCTTCCTTAAACAATTTTTTCACATACCAAGATGTGGTAGCACGGTGAAATTATAAAATCTAGTTTTTTATCTATAGGTTTATGATACATTTAATTTTTTTTAAATTTTTAATTAAAAATATTTAATAAAAATAACAAAAACAAACAAAATAATATTTAATATTCTACTATTAAATGATGAATTTATTTTTAATTTAAAATTTAGTTAATAAATAAACATTAAGGGTTAAGTGAAATTTTCATCAAAGTGTGAACATTTTCACGCCATAGAGGGTAAATGATTTTTTGTTCAACACATCAAGAGGTTTTAATACTTTTCCCAAAACCTTTCTATCGAATTCATTAATGTTTATCAATAAAATCTTGGTTTCCAAAATTATTCCTTTTACTTTATTTTCTTTAAATCTTTTCTCGTCTTTAATATAAAGATTGTTAAATAATAAAATAATATTATATGTGTTCAAACCATAAATATTCTTAATCAATTTATTTAAAGGTATAATTGAAAATTAATCCCTTAAACTAAATAAAATTAAAAACTAAAAAAATTATCTTATTAGATATTTAAAGATTAAAACAAGCAACTTCGGTCGTAAAGGAAATGTTGTTATCCCTTAAGGTTCCATGTTCGAGCACCGTAAATATTAATAGAATGAGCGTTCAATATCAAACGATTAAAATTTTTCTTTGAACATATATTATCTTATATATATAGTCCAAATTAATAAAAATAAATAAAATAAAAAATCATTTTTTTATCATTAGTTTAGTTAATATATCTTTTCTTTGTTCACGAAGATGACCAAAATGCTTGGACTTTCTAGCATGTCATAAAGCATTCGTCATGGTAGAAACGTTATTTAAATGACGTACTCCATATAATTTTGATTTGCATAATCATAAACTTAGTCATCATAAATATTATACTTAATTTATAAATTATTGTCGAATAAATCTACAATGTATCACTAGTTAATACTAAATAATATTATTTTAGCTCTAATCAATATCGGTTCTTAAGATAAATTTTTTATTTTTCTTATAAAAAAAAATTAATTATTATTTAAAATGTTAATTAGTTTTTAGTTTCATAAATAAAATTAAATGATTAAATATTAATTGATTCGACACCGTTAACATTACGACATATCAAGAGACTGTAAGTTCAAATACGTGTAAATATTGTTATCTCCAATTTAATGATTGATGGTTATGAGTAATTTAAGTTTTGTATTCAGACACAAACCAGGCTATCTCAAATGTTAAAGAATTGTTATTTTTTTAGTCCCCAAGTAAGAGTATCATGAATGTCAGGGATGTAAGTGTTCAATATCCAGTAATTGAGAGTTATCAGCAAGGTTGATGAAATGCTTTTTTCTCTCTTCCGAACTTTATCTATCGAAAACTATTCATCAACTTCAGTTTATCTACTCTCTATTTTTTTCACAAAATAATTGAGCACAATTCTCCATTTAAATTAAAAGAGATAAATTATTTATAATCATCGTAACCCAAGTTTTATCTTCTACCAAATTTTACAAATAAAAGCTAACACACCAGAAGTCTCGTAGCTCAAAACTTCCATTTAAATCGAAGAAAGATTTTTCCTACTCACTACTAATTTTTCCTAATTGTGATTGAATTTTAACCAAACCCTTGCTTACGTGTTCTTTAACCCTTATAATTAGATATGCTCGTGACTCAGTTAATATTAAAATAATAAATGTGATGGAAACAAAGGTTTAACGTAAGAACAATGGAACTAAAATAATAATAATATATATAGTTGATTGATATAAGGAAAAACTATTTTATAATTATATTTCATTCTTAACATATGCGCTGGACAAAATTGAATTTTGAATATATTTTATTTTATAATTTTAATTTTTTACGTAATATGTATAAATTACTTAAACCCTAAATAAAGCCATAGTATTAAAAATTGACCCCTGAAAAAAATAATTATTCTAGTATCTATTTTAATTTTAGAGCATTTTAAACTAAATGTTTTATTTTAGAGAAAAAAATCTCTATTTTGGAGATTTGGTCGTTTGCTGGTTAACAGTTTTCATTCACTGATAGATCTTTTTACCTTAAAACAATATGTTAGAGGCCAAAATATTAAAAAGAATGAGTCAAAGTGATAATTTTATTAAACGATAGAAATACGTTTTTTATCATTATACCTAAATCAAAAGATGTGGTATACCAAAATACATTTTTTTGGTAAATAAGTTTTTGAAGATCTTTTAACTTATTTGAGCATAAATAGCTAATTGGTAGTCAAACTCTCTATTTTTAGTGTTTGATAAACACCTTTTTGAAAGAACTGATTGTACAAAATAAGCTGAAAATGAAAATGCTGGAAAATCCAACGGTTTAGGAGAGCTGATTGTAAAATAAGATGTTAAATGATATATTTGACTTTATTATTTCCATAATAACATCCTCACCATAAAACATCATTATTTCCATCCATGAATTAGTGAAAAAAAAATTATTCTATTTTTTAGTTGTAGATTCTCAAATATATTTTGATTAAGAAAATATAACAAAACATGAAAATAAAAAATAAATGT